TGTTCCGTGCTACCGGATCGGCTTCTCTTGGAAAATACAAAGGCGTGGCATGATCGACACTTTTTCTTGGACCCCGGTTGATTTTCGTTGGGGACGTCGAGCTCAAGACGTGAAATTGAGCGCTTCGTGGGAGGCAACCCACGGTTATTGTATTTTCTCGTTTTTCATTTTCGTTTCGAAATAAATAGCCCCACAATCCTCACGACACACGGTATTTTTGGAGAAGTAAATGGGACTCGGGGTCGATATTTTGTTGAAAATCGGGTTGAAAGATGGTGGAGTGTTGAAAATTTGAGCTAAGTATGAAAATTATTGAGAAGAGCTCGTGCCGACCTGCTCGGCAGTACCGACTTGTTAGAGCCGAGCCACAAAAAAAAATGGTCCGAGAATCGAGCGAAAATTGTGCCCGAAAGTTGATTTGAGAATTGGGGTTGAAAAGTAGTGAAATATGCCTAAGTGTTGAAAGTCCTAAAATTCGCGGGCTCGAAATCAATTTCGCTAGATGGAGCCGATTTCGCGAGTTAGGAAGTTTGGGCTGAGGCTAAAATTCGCGAGCTCGAAAATGTGTTCGCGAGCTGGTTCAAATTCGCGGGGAAGACATTTTGGACTGAGGCTAAAATTCGCGGGCTCTAAATCGCGTTCGCGAGCACTGAAATTTCGCGGGATATAAATAGAAGAGTCAACAGTGGGTCAAACCCTAATCTTATTCAATTTTTCCCTCAGCTCACCGAACTCTCTCTCTCTCTCTACCCGCTGCGCCCCCATCTCTCTTTCACCTCACCATCCGCCGCTCCCAACTTCGACCACCGACCGGCGACGCGAACTCAGACCGGCGACAAAGCCTTGCCGCAACACCGACGACCCTCATCTCCTGAGACCACAAGTTGCAACCGTTGAATCCCAGCTCCTCCGCCGCCCGTCGCGACTTCCATCTCCGACGATTAGCGACTCTGCAAATCCGGCGACGCGGCGATTCTGCGGCGACTAAGCTCCTCGACGGCGACGCGACATCGAACTTCAACTCGCTTCAAGGTCTGTCCGCGGCGAGCCCATCTCTGCATCACCCGCGAGCCAGCGACGAGAACCTCTCACCACCATCATCACCTACCGGCGTCGAGCTTTCACGGCAACCGCACACCGCCCGCTGCGACCGGTTTCTCCTAGGCGACGCGACCGGGAATTTTTTTCCCCAACCGCAGCGGCGGGCTCACAGGGTGTTCTCGGCGAGCCTCAAGCTCCGACCTCAGCGAGCTTCCACCGGCGAGCTCGACATTCACGGCACCCGCATCCTCCGACCATTCTCCACTCAAAATGTCCGGGACCTCAAGTTTTTTTTTTTCAGACCACCTCAGCCCGATTTCAGCGACCTCAAGCTTCCAGTGATCCTGGTTCTTTAATTCTTCCGGCTACCTCAAGCTCATTCCGGCATCTTTGAGCTTTTGTATTCTCGGAAGGCACGGTTTGATTCTT